CTCTCGCTGGGCGCCGACACGGCGGGCGCGCTGGCCGTGACGCCGGGCCGCCTGCTGCCGCCGGGCCTGCGCCTCTGGACGCTGCTCACGCACGGGCTGGCCGAGACGCGCGCGTGGGGCGCGGCGCTGAGCGTGGCCACGCTGGCGGCGGCCGGGCGGCTGCTGGAGCCGCTCTGGGGCGCGCTCGAGCTGCTGCTCTTCTTCGCCGTGGTGAACGCGGCCRCGGGGCTGCTGGGCGCGCTGGCCTACGCGCTGGCCTACGCGGCCACGGCGCGCCCGGCCTACCTGTTCGGCGTGCGCATCCACGGCGCGCTCGGCTTCCTGGGCGGCGTGCTCGTGGCGCTCAAGCAGCGCATGGGCGAGAGCGCCGTGGTGCCGGCGGCGCCGGCGCTGCGCGTGGAGGCGGCGCCCGCGCTGCTGCTGGCGCTGCTGGCGCTGCTGCGGCTCGGCGCGCTCGTGGAGGGCAGCGCGCTCGTGTCGTACGCGGGCGGCGCGCTCTCCGCCTGGGTCTACCTGCGCTTCTACCAGCGGCACGCGCGCGGCCGCGGGGACATGTCGGAGCGCTTCGCCTTCGCCACCTTCTTCCCGGCGCCGCTGCGGCCGCCCGTGGCGCTGCTGGCCGACGCCGTGCACGGCGCCCTCGTCAGGCTGCGCCTCTGCCGCAAGACGGTCAAGCGCTACGACGTGGGCGCCCCCTCCTCCATCACCATCAGCCTGCCCGGCACCGACCCGCAGGACGCCGAGAGGAGGAGGTACCGCAGGGGTGGCCCCGTTCCCGTTGGGATGCCGCCCTTCCCGTTGGGATGCCGCCCTTCCCGTTGGGATGCTGCCCTTCCCGTTGGGATGCTGCCCTTCCCGTTGGGATGCTGCCCTTCCCGTTGGGTTGCCGCCTTTCCCGTTGGGTTGCCGCCTTTCCCGTTGGGATGCCGCCCTATCCCGTTGGGTTGCCGCCTTTCCCGTTGGGATGCGCCTTTCCCATTGGGATGGCCCTATCCCATTCAGATGGCTCTTTTCCCGTTGGGATGCCGCCCTTCCCGTTGGGATGCCGCCCTTCCCGTTGGGATGCCGCCCTTCCCGTTGGGATGCCGCCCTTCCCGTTGGGATGGCCCCTTTCCCGTTGGGATGCCGCCTTTCCCGTTGGGATGCCGCCTTTCCCAGTGGGGTGTCCCCCTTTCCCATTGGGATGCACCTTTCCCGTTGGGATGCCCCCTTTCCCCTTGGGATGGCCCTGTCCCATTCGGATACCTCCTTTCCCGTTGGGATACCTCCTTTCCCAATGGGATGCCCCTTTCCCAATGGGATCCCCCTTTCCCAATGGGATGCCCCTTTCCCATTGGGATGCCCCTTTCCCGTTGGGATGGCCCTGTCTCGTTGGGGTGCCCCCTGTCCCATTGGGGTGCCCCCTTTCCTCTTGGGATAGCTCTTTTCCTGTTGAGATGTCCCTTTTCCACTGGGATACCCTTTTTCCGTTGGGATTCCCTCTTTCCCATCATGTGGAGGCCCTAGGTGGGTGGGCGGGCATGGGAGGTGCTTGGGGAAGCAGGACCACTTGGCACCCTTGTAAAGCGCTGATGGAAAGATGGGGTTATCGGGATGCAGAGCCTGGAAGTGGGAAGGGCAACAGCTCGTGTCCTTAGGGAAGTGCTGAGAACTTTCCCAGCCTTCCCATTTGGGAGGTCGGGAGGCGGGCTGGAGCAGAGGGAGCAACGCCTGTGGGGCCCCGTTGGCATCGAGAGCGGCTCCTCCCCGCCCTCGGCCGGGYGTTAGCTGAGTCAGACCCACACCCGGGCTCTCCCGTCCTGGAAAAGCCGCCACGGTTTTCCAGGTGGCTCCCGTGAGGCCTTGGCTCTTCCCGTCCCCTTTGGGTGCCTTTTCCCTCCCCAGTTCCCCGGAGCGACCCTGGCCCGGTCCGACAGGAGCGCCCCACGTGCCGAGGGAGCCTTGTGTGAGCAGCGCTGTCTGGTCGTGCCCTGAGCGCCCTCGCCTTTCCCCAAAGCCCCTTCCTGCCCCCGGGAAGGAGCCAGGGCTGGATGTGCAGGGAGAGGAGGCCCCAGGGGGTGGCACAGTGGCAGCAGGGGCTGAACCCGGACGCTGTGACGTTAACCCCGCGCGTGTCCCCTCGCCCTGCAGGCAGCTGGCCCTGAAGGCGCTCAACGAGCGGCTGAAGCGCGTGGAGGACCAGGCGGCGTGGCCCAGCATGGAGGACGAGGAGGAGGAGGCGGCGGCGGCGG